ATGGTGATGTTAATGAAGAGAAACACACAGCATGGTAATGTAGTCAGTGTGGACAGCAACATAACCTCCAGTAAGCCCTGATACTGCAGACCAGCAGTGATGTTGGTCTGAGACTGATTTGCATACGACATTTCTGAGAATCAATCAAGACATTAACCGAGAGAGCACACAACAAACTTCTTTTTGTATTCCTGCAACAATGAAGATCCAACATCAGCAGACATGCCTGTTGAGTTCACATGAAAAATCTAAAAACCCCCCTCTGCAGACAGTTAGCAGGTTAGCGTCTTGTGATGTGGGCAGAGCTGGTCTGCCAGGTATGCTTACGCTCACATTCTGTATTTGAGCTCTGTCCTCACACCCATTTCACGTGACACCAACACATGACTGCATGATTAACAGTTCAGGAGTAGGTAGACTCTCTTCCATTTTTTTCCATTACCTTGGTCATGTGATGTCTTCCATAGTGGACATGAGAAAAGAGGAGCATCTGTTTTTCCTTGCATTAGGCATGGCTGTCTTTCTTAACATCCCATCATAGAAAGATTTCCACTGTCACTTCCATGTAGATTCAGTCTGTCCTGGTCGGTCAGCAACAAAAACTATAAGAAGTGATTTTCAAATTTGATTCAATTGCATAAAGCTTAGTCCTCCCCAATCATGCAATCACATAGTTACTCTAGAGCTAATAGAAAATTGCATTCTCTCTGCTGACCAGGAGGGGGCAAACAGAAGTCAGATTGTATAGAAGTCTATGAGAAAATGACTCTACTTCTCTCTTGATTTATTACCTCAGTAAACATTGTAAACATGAGTTTATGGTCTCAATCTCTAGTTTCAAGTCTTCTTCAATACAGCATGATGTTCATTTAGTACATTATGGTCCATTTAGAGCAGAGGTAGCCAACACGGTGCCCGTGGGCACCTGGTCGCCCGCAGGGACCACGTGAGTTGCCCACAAGGCATGTTCTAAAAATAGTACTAGTCACCATGGAGCTCCGTCTAAAAAAATTAGTTGCTGTTCATTTTTAATCAAAAACGCTTGCATGAATGTTGATTTTAAAATGACAATATTTCTTGTCATAAGAGAGTTGGGTAACCAGAGGCGCACGGCGGACAGCCAGGAAGAGGCTGCCGTACCGCACTGGGTTTTCAGGTTCCGAATGGCGGGTGCTTCCCGTTGGCGCCGGAAGCGCGCCGCAAGCGCACCACGTCGTCAGGTCCGTCAGTTCGCGGAACAGTCCGCGGGCCAACAACTCTTGGGTGGCGGAGGTAGAGGCGAGGCAACGCAATCTGACTGAAAAGAGCGACTGCGGCTAAGTGGATAGCAGGGCCGTCTTTCAATCAGCGGTTCAATCCCCGGCTCCGGCTCTGGAGTCGCATGTCGATGTGTCCTTGAGCAAGACACTTAACCCCAAAATTGCTCCCGTAGTTGTGCCTACGGTGTAGAAATGTGAATCTGAATTGTAAGTCGCTTTGGATAAAAGCATCTGCTAAATGACTGTAATGTAATGTATTGTAATGAAAAGGCCCAGACTAGAGGTTTGAACGCGGGCGCCCGAAGATACTCGCGCGCCTCGGAGGGTTGGATCCCCCCTCGGCTATAGACGAGACTGTTTACTAGTTTCTTCGTGGAGAAAAAGGTAACATTAGAAAAGCTGGTGACGGTGAAAACAGACGGGGCTCCTGCCATGACGGACCGGCATGCAGGCTTCATTGCGCAATGTAAAGGTAACCCAGACTTCCCAAAATGTCTACATTACCACTGCATCATTCACCAGCAGGCGCTATGTGCAAAAGTAACCGACTTTGATCATGTGATGACTCCTGTCTGAAGATCATGAATGGCATCCGATCCAAAGCCAAACAACACAGGATATTCATAACTGATGATTTGTATAAACATGGGACAGAGCTGATTTGTTGATTATGATTTGTTCAAAAATGTTACAAAAGTGGTTGGTACAAACGAGACATGATGTGAAGATATGACAGTTAATGATTTCATAAAAATGTTAGGATCATTTTTACAAAAATATAACAGGTGTGATTTTGAACCAAATGCTACAAATGTGCTTATTCATACAAAACTGTCAAGAAAGACATTTACTAAAATATCAGAGATGTGCTATCTCTGACCTTCAAATGTTGAAACAGAATAACAGAAATAAATGTTTAAATATATCTGTTTCTACCATCATGTTGTGGAAATCATTGTTAATAATTATTGTGAGGAATAATTAACATTGACATGTGATCAGACAGACAGTGTCTTCACACATATTATTATTAAAAGGTGATCTGTGCAACTTTGTTATTCAGGAAGTTTGTATCAAACAAGTAGCCCTTTGTACTGCTCGGTACCCTTGAAGTAGCTCTCAGTTTAAAAAAGGTTGGTGACCCCTGCTTTAGAGTCAAACAGACCCTAAAGCAGGGGATGCTTTAGGGCGGGGCTACACGGTGATTGACAGGTCTCTACCAGAGACGTATACGGCGTCTATACGTCACTCCTCCTCAGTCCAGATACGGTCACTTCCTGTTCACTGGTTGCAAAAAACAACATGGCGGCGGCCGTAATCCAAGATGGCGACAACAAAATTGCCAACTCGAGGCTTCATAACAGCCGTCCACAAACCAAACATCAGTAGTGTCCTAAAGAAGCACCATTAACAGCCCTTTGTGTGGTTTGTCCTACCTTTTGGTAACAACTGTTTGCTGCACTAAATATTCTCTTTAGTATTATGTTGAAAAACCAAAGTATGGAGCTTTTCCCCTTTCTTTATTCAAGAGCGTGGGCTTTTGATTTGAGAGCATGACTTGATTTAACTTCATATTTTGTAAAGCTTTATTTCAAAACCCTGTCCTCACACTCAAATATCCCCTGCTTTTGCTTGGATTTGCACTGCTTCTGCTCAAACTGCTTGCACTCAGATATATTATTGCTTGCACATATTTCCTGCACTCCACCATCAGTCCTTCTCCTCACACTTGAGCTGCTTCTTCGTGCTCCTTAAACATCTGCTCACAGATGTTTTCGTACCACAATCCTCTCAAAATTGCCCAACCAATAGAATGCCAGGTGTTGTGTTGACTAATGAAATGATCCCTGTCTGAGCGTGAAATCAATAAGTCGTGCTCTCAAATTGAATGACCACGCTCTTGAATAAAGTTAAGAAAAAAGCTCCATACTACAGTAAGTGAAAATATAAGTGAAGAGCCTGCATTAGTGGAACCCAGACTACTGGTGGACAAACTGAGGGTGCCCCAAATAACCTGTGCCATGGGACTCGCAAGTTTATGGGTATCATTACACTGAATAAGTTGTGATTATGCATATTGATGCTAGTCCAAATCTGAGTACTTAATCATATTGTTTGGGAAGATGCTGCCTAAAATGTAAATTGGTCATAAATAAGAAAATATTTTTTTTTTGTTTTGATAATGAAAAATATAAAACCAAAGTGCAATAAGTGAGGGTTGGAACTTAAAACTAAAGCTAAATCCAGAGTTTTGCCTTCACGCTCGGCTTCCTCTTCACGCCGATGGTCCAGTACAACGCCTTCATTAAACTGCCCCTCAATCTCATGCTCCATTTTACCAAGATACCTGAACTCTTACTCCCAACCCGAATGGCACAATCCACCGTGGCCTCAGACTTAGAGGTGCCACTTCTCATCCACATTGCTCAATTTAGCAGCCAAACTTCAGACTAAGAAGACACCTATATTTTTCTAAAGTTCTAATATCTTGTGAAGTGCAGCTTTAAATGGGTAAGCACAGTTTTGAACCAACAGGTTTTGGGGTCAGACATTGGCGATTAAAGTCCCGTTTTTCTCTATTTACTTTGGACTTTTCTTATTTCAACTTAGTTCAACTTTGCCATACTTTGTCTCCACAGAAGTACATGTCATCCCGTCTCCATGAAGATTCCTGATAAACTCCCTCAGGAATCATTAATCATGCCAATATTTACTGAAAACATTAATGAGTAAAGGTTTGAATATTTAATGTGTCTTAATGAGTTATCAGGAGACTAGGTCAGCTGGGAGGAGATCTCTCTGTGACTCCTCAGTGTTCTATACAGCTGAAAGATAACATTGCCACAACAATTACACTCAAGATTTAGCAAAATACACCTGAAAAGTAAGAAAACTTCACGACCCATAACAAACAGGGACTCTAAACTTGGCAGTTGTTGGCAGAACTCAAATGAACTACTGACACCTTAATTGTTTTGGGAGAAAAATACTTATTTTAATATATTATTCAATGCAGGACAGATAAAGGTAAAGGATAAGAATGTTACACAAAAATAGGTGTTTACATAAATATGATATAAATATATACAAAAAGTACTCACCCCCAACAATCAAATCAGAAATAAAACATCTACGTACAAGTCAAGTGTTCTATAAGTTGTAAATGATACAAATAGTGCAAATAAATAAATACTGGATCCATATAGCCGGCTAGATGATTATGTACAATATACAGTATGTACATATGTATTGCAGTTGATAGGGCAGGAGTCAATGTTTAGGTAGTAATCATTGTGACGTTACTGTCTGTGACACTATGTGCGTGACATAAAACCATCATGCATCACATACATGAAATTTGACCGTGTAAACAATCGGATATATGAGACCGATGGGCCGGTCACGACA